AAAAAAATTACACTTCATCTCCTCTTACTATAGCATGCATCAAGACGTAAAAATTTGCTTTGCTTTTGCACTGAACTGAGAGTCTGCTTCAGCATGATAAATAGGAAGAACGCTTCCTCAAACTTCTTTAAAAACTATCTTAGCCACAATTAAAAGTTGTTTTTATTGGTTCACTGTGCTCTCATCATGACTGCCATCTCATGTAACCGTTATTTTCAATCCTTTTGCTTTTTCTTAAAGATCATCGCACTCTCTCCTTGACTCCTGTCAAAAAACATGGTAACCAAACTTAATGACTTGGAAGTAATATCGATTGACCTAAGTTAAGCCAGTTTAATCGGTCATCACTCCCCAAAGTTATGGTCTCGTCACGAAAAAGCCAGCCAAACAAGACTTCTTCAAGCTTTCTGAGTATCTACCCAACCGCTACAGTAAGTATACCAGTGGAAACGCATAATGCTGGTGCCGAAAGACTCAGTTTGATTCCGGACTATTTAATTTGCTAACATCCCCAGTTGCCTTATTCACGAAGCTACAAAACTTAAATGCAACATACTGATTTTTTCTACAGCCCACGCACTATCTGTCCACTTCTGTAAAGGGTCCACCGACAATGATGTGCAACTGATATCTAGAACAGACAGCCAATTAACTGCCTGATTCTGCAAAGACTGACACTCGTCACTCCCGTTTTTGCGTTTCCCCACATCGTTGCCAAGCTTATAATAACCGCAAATCACCAACTGACAATTCCCTACAGACCTCTTCCTTCCAGTTTTACTTATTTCCAAGAAAACTGTTGCTTTTTCCTATTTCTGCTCAAAACAATCAAACTTACTCATCTTTTCAAACCCTGTTTTACCATCATTTTCTGCATGTCCGCTTTGCCCCTTTCATTGATTCTTCCCGCCTCCTACCCCTTCTTCATCCTTGCGGTTTCTTCTGTGATATCCGTAAAGTACATTTCCCCCCTCCTTCAAACTGGGATTTAACTTGTCGCTTTACATAGCTTAGCTCCCTTCATTTTTACCTCTCTTTAAAATAATTTTACCCATATTTGTATGTACAATAAGATTGTCCAATTACCCGAAAGTTAACAGAATTCTTATAACAATTTTTAAAGATGAGGACTGAATAACAGCAAGTTACCATTCAGTAATAAAGGTAAACAACATAACAAAAGAGATCGATTTATAAATTATCAGTGATTTATAGCCTAAACTTCTGAACTGCTTATTTCTAAAAGTCAACCAATACGAATGGAAAACAGCTTATTAATTAAGTTAGCTACTGGTACAAACGGGAACAGTAAGAGCTGGAGGTATGCAAAAAATAGCATGTAAAAAATAAAGGAAAAAAATGGTTTTTAGCAGTAGAATCCAATATAGCTAAAGATCACACCATTTAAAATCCAACATTTACAAAGAACATTTGAAGCTCATAAGAAGATAAATTAGAAGCATGTTGTTGAAAGAGCACAAGGGTATATAGTTTAGATCTATCAGTAGCGATTCAGAAGAAATTAATATTATGCAATTATATGAGCATCCACTGCCATCGAATGAAAAACAGAATTCTGTGCGGCCAAAAGCGACTGTGGTGAATCAAATTCAATGATTCTTCCCTTATCCAGCACCATAACTCTGCAATTTAAAACGTCACGTGTTGAAAAGAATTTAAGTCTTCAAAGAACCAGTAATTCAAGCAAACTGCTATAATTTAATCAACATAACCAAAGCTGTCACATAAAACGTTCTAACACTTAGCTAGAGCTCGAATTATAAAAACCGAATAATTTAAAAAAGCAATAATGTCATATCAGGAAACTATAATATCGCTGATACCCAATCAGACTCTCCATATGTTCTAAAACCTGCATTGCAAATTGTAGCAGTTTAAAATACTGTGAAATTCTCGCAACTTCACTAACAAAGGTTCAGAAGGTTTTTACAACAGACATTTCATAAGCAGCAATTTCATTAGCTTTAAGTTCACTGAACCTATATAACTCATTACAGATTGTAAAGGAAATTAGCAAATTTTTTCTCGCTAGCCCTCCAGATTAATATGATACAGAGTCAACTAATGTTCTTTCAGCAATAGTTTTCAAAAATGACATCCTCATAAATTGTAAATGATTCTGAAATGCAAAACTATCTAATTTTCTCTTTAGTTTTAATCACAAAATGATCACCTGTCATAATCAAGAATAGTGTTGAGTCGATGAGCAATTGTAAGAACAGTTGCAGTTTTAAATTCCTTCCTGATAGTTTCTTGTATAAGCGCATCGGTGGCAAGGTCAACCGCAGCAGTAGCTTCATCAAGAACGAGAACCTTACTTTTTCTCAAAAGTGCTCGAGCTAAACAAGTTAGCTGTCGCTGCCCAACGCTGATATTCTCACCGCCCTCACTGATCTTATGGTACAAACCGTCATCAAATGATTTGACAAGCGATTTCAAGTGAGCCAGTTCAAGAGCACACCAGACTTCATAGTCCTCATATTGGTCAAAAGGATCAAGATTGAAACGCAATGAACCAGAGAATAATACAGGATCCTACAAACGGTAACTAATAAATGAGTTTTCTTGGCTGTCATGAAATAGACAGAAAAACTTTAAGCTTGCGGCTGATTTACCTGAGGAATAATTGTCAATCGCGACCGCAGGTCATGAAGACCTATGGTGGCGATATCAATATCATCAATGCAAATTTCGCCTTCAGCTGCCTCAATCATTCGGAAGAGAGCTAGAGCGAGCGAGCTCTTCCCTTAAAATTACATATGCTTACTGGCATAAATATGCTTTTGCAAACCGCATAATTTAAAAGCGATCAGACACTGTTCAAAGTTGAATTCGTTTAGAAATTTTTAGTGAGACAGTAAACTTTTCTGGAGAGCTACAAAAGTTCCAAACAATTTTTGAAATGGCAAGTTCTTAGAATAAACCTGGCTTCTAAAACCCAAATAGAGCCGCCAGAAAACGCTGCAATATTGTCACTGTTCTGAATAAATTATCCAAAAAAAATCCACTCCGAAGAGTGCATCAAGTCAGGAAGAAAATGTGTGTTAAGAAGTAAAAATCCCATTACTCTCTGAAACAGCAGCGTAGAAGACTACATACCAGCTCCAGTTCTGCCAACTATCCCAACCTTCTCTCCAGGCTTTATATTTGCATTGAGGTCTTTCACAACCAAATCAAGACCTGGGCGGTATCGAGTGGAGTAATTCTGGAGCATAATCTTCCCTTTATCGGGCCAGCCCTCTTTATGTACTGAGCCGGGTATAGACCAGACTGCCTAAGCTTTCAATTAGAAATAAAAACGCGTTAAACGACACATCTAAATACTTCAAAAAACATATGAGTACAAGTTTCAAAACTGTTTTTAAATAAAATTTCTCTTTTAAAAACAGTCGGAAACTCAATTTGTAGACGATGGCGCTCAGTGTCATGATAATTATTAATTTAGAGATACTATTTATTCTAGGCCTCGGTTCCAAAACAATAACAAAGGATATTCAAAATAATGCAAAAGAAAAAAAAAATATTGAAAAGTAGGTGATACGAAGAAAATTTACCTCTGTTGGTGTGCTAGCATACTCTTTAACTCGTTCTACTGCAACAACGTTAGTTTCTAGAGCACTCACTTGACGAACAGCAAAATTAAGAGTTTCCGTTATCTAAGAAATTTTTTTATAACATCGAAGTAGAATAAGAAAGAAGCAAAAAAGGTGAGGAATAAAATGACAAAGAAAAATAACAGAATTGAAAACTTGCATTTAGTGCATAAGATATGCTCAATCCTGCAACACCTGCACTGATGCCGCTTCCAATAATCCTAGATAGTGCAGCAAACAGGGCAGCAAACAAGACGACACAGTTTCCTACAAACTCCAACCTAACAGCTAACCATCTGTTCGCAATTAGATTCGGATACGTGCAACGTATGAAAGTATCAACGTACTTTTCAGACTTCAGATAGAATTCATCTGTCTGTAAGCAACTTTTACCAAAATTACAGCATCGATCAGAATCCTATTATATGTAAAGTACTAATTAATCAAATAAGATTATATTATAATTATTTTTCGTCTACACTTGCCTTTCTAAAAGCTCGTATCAAAGAAGCCCCTTGAATAGTTTCTCCAAAATGAGAATAGATAGGAGACCGGTTCACACTTTCTAAACGTTTAAGCTGTCTGGAAGTTGGGACGTAAAATCTCTGTAAAGCAAACCATTAAGACAAAAGAAAGTTAACCTTATTATAACAAAACTATTAGCGTTTCAAATATTCTAAACTTTACAAAACTTTAAAAATTCTGAATTTTTATGAAAAAAAATAGAAGCATTAGACACTGTAGAGCAAAGAGCCGTTAGTTAACGAACAACAGAAACCTACCAAAGAAACGTAGTAAATTATACTTAACGGTATTATAACTGCTACGAAAACTGGAGTTGAGACAATAACAATGATTAGTGTAGACGCAACATTAAATATACACATCACAAAATATCGAAAATTTGTTGGCAAAAGTTGGTCAATTACGTCGATATCCTTTAAAAAAAACTTTATTTAATGATACTTGTATTACGTTCTAAAAAAGTAAAGCACCATAACGATTATCTTCCTCTCTGTTCTTACTATCCTTTTTCTGTCATTGTCTATTAACTTTTTTGTGAAAAATTATCCCAACCTTTCCAAAACGATTAAGAATTCTTCCAACAGGTGTGGTGTCAAAAAACGCCATCGGAGATCTCAAGACGTTGTGCAGAAAGGGAGTATGAAGATTTTTGGAAGCACGTAAGCCAGCAAAGACGAGGAATATCAGCGAAAAGAAAAAACTGAGTGCTGAAAAAATTAGAAAAATTTTTAACCGGCCAACGCTTACAGCTGAAAAAAAAGTATGTCAAATTAGTGCCAAAATGACCTTCTCCTGTTCCAAAAGCAGCATAAACACCCAGTCTCTCTCCCAAACTCATCGAGTCGTTCTTCCGAACCCCATCTACAACGTCATTTGCATCCGCCCTAAGAAAATTAGAGATCTAAACAGTAGGTCTCGCCTAACAATATGACTTACAAACCTTGTTGAAAAGTAGGTGAAAAAATAAAAAATTTTCTTGAGCACAAACTTTTTTATATTAGGAACCAAAAGTTACCAGTTCGACAACCAAATTCCTCGCAAAAGCTGTGAAGCTGAGTAACCAGCGAATAGTAAGATGAACATAATAGAAAAAATGTATGTTGCTGCATGGAAGTACTGCATATAAACACCAAGCTTTACCTAGAATAGTCATTATCTTCGTATTTCGCTCTCTAGAAAGCAGAATAAAATGAATATTTAATCACTGACTCTCCCTGTTTCAAGTCTTTCCTTTTCTATTAGCTTCTTAGAAGCCTGCGTTGGAATTACTAAAGAACTTCGTGAAGAAGTGCTAGATATTGTTCTCCTGCGCCGTGTAGATGATCGTGCCATACTATCGGCTAGTTCTGAGACAGTTGAAATTTGACTGAAAGGTGGCTGAGAGTTAAACCAACCATAAAAATAAAATTAAGAAACTTTCGTGATTCACGAATAAATCAGTAATTCTTCGATGTAAAAAATGAAAAAGGAAATATAAAGACAATGAATTGTTATGGATATTTGCTACCGTGTAAACTCAACTCTCGCAGACTCCACACGAGAAGTGCCTCCAAACTGATCTGCGCTCTCTGAACATATATGATTAATTGTAGAAAAAATTTCTGTAAACAGATATTACAAGGTTAGAAAAATCATTAAAAAAAACTTGTAGTATTTTACGTGCCTACTTCAAACAATTTTTTTTAATCCTTTCTTACAGCGAACTTGGCACTTAAAAGACTAGTTGGGGAGATAAATAGTCCAACAGTATTTAATTTCTAACAGTAAAGTCAGCGTAGTCCCAAATTAGCCAATTCTAACCAATAAATAGCGATGAATGAATATAAATGCAAAATCCAAAAAAATAAACCTTCTTCTTCAGTTGTTAGCTCGCCGCTTGCAGATGTATGATTTAATTCTTTGCTATCAGCGTCTGCTTTATTCTCCTCTACAAGTTTTGCAAATTCGCTGCACGTTTCTATTAAGTGATGAAATTTGCCAATGTTTTTAACTTTTCCGTCTGTAAAAGTTTATTAAAGACGGCATTCAACGAAGGATAATGAGAACTGAGCATTCAAAAACCTGTAAATCAATGCTTTACAAAAAAAAATTAACTCTTTACAGTCTTTAAAAGATCGTATTATTATGCAACGAAACAACCATTCCAAAAGAATTCTAACCTTCCATAGCTACAATCGCATCAGCTTCCTTCAAAAATGACAAACCATGAGTAACAAATAATCTTGTTTTGTGCCTAAGAAGACCCCTTGGTCCTATAACCTAAAACACAACAAAAGTAAAACCAAAGTTTTCCATATTTCTGAAAAATATGTTAAAAAAATGTTGTTAAAAATGATCTTAAAAAAAGGTATATTCTTGAAACTGTACTGAGTATCTAAATACCTGATCAAAAATGTGTTTCCCAACATGAGAGTCAACAGCAGATAACGGATCATCTAGAAGGTAAACATCGGCATTTGCATAAATGGCGCGGGCCAAGGATATACGAGCTTTCTGACCGCCAGAAAGGTTTATACCCTGAAAGAAGCAAATAAGTCAAAAATAAATACCCGAGTCTATTCTCGTATAAAATAAGATGAATAATGTTTGTCTCTAAAGTAAAACAATAATAACAACCTTTTCACCAATTTCAGTCATGTCTCCCTGCGGCAAAATAGCTAGATCGGCAGCAAGTGCACACGCTCGTATTACTCGGTCGTAAGTTTTCCGGTCAAATGGCTTACCAAACGTTATGTTGTCTCTTAATGTCAAGTTTTGAATCCAAGACTGTTGAGGAACATATGCAATTTTCCCTCGCACTCCAACATAACCACCGAGTTTTTCCATTTCACCTTAACATCGGTGCTTGTTTCCGTGCAAATAAAAAATAATCACTGAATCGAAAAAAGTAAAAGAAATTTCGGAAATCAATAAAAAAATGTGTATTCCAAGAAACTTATTGGAAGGAGAGAAATATTGCTAAAGAGGAAATAAAATAACCAAGCAAGGCGCTGAGAAGGCTGCTTTTACCGCATCCAACGTGACCAACAATGGCAAAAAGCTGCCCCTTAGGAACCTTAAAATCTATGTTTGAAATCGACGCCTTTGAATTTTGTCCAGCACCTTCCCACGTAAAACTCGCTTTTTGCACTTCTACCAGATTATCAAAACCTAATAAGAGTTATATTACTGCAAAGAAATTGTCTGCTTCACAAAGTAATCTTTGAAAATTGCGCAAAGATTTCGAAGTTCTGATGAGTTTCAGAAAACCCGAGTACAATAACAATTACCTTCAACAGTAGGAGAGCTGTCAATGCATCTCATATCCAACTCATCTGCCACAAAGAATGATTTCAGGCGCCTATTAGCAACAGTAGCCTTGAATTTAATGTAGATGAAAAAGACAAACAAACGACTTAAAAATTATACGATTATGATGATTTATTTTAGTACCTGAACGATCTGCTGGATAAGGAACGCTATCATTGTCATCGGCGATCGAAGCTGGTTAAACAGTGTTAGAGAAACAAACGCAATTTGAGGAGTTAATACATGACTGTCGCTGCTTAAGGTGTATGTTAAAAACGTCAAGAACGCAACCTTCAAAAAAAATATTATCAGTGTCAGAACATCCAAAAGTTTTAAGAGAGAAGCACATAACAATTTTGTGATACTAAAATTTGCAATCTTCACTCAACCAGTAGTCTTGAAGAGTAAAGAAAAATAAAGAACTTTTTAGGAACTGTTTTATACAAGTCTGAATACAACCACTGAAAATTTTGATTATCCGTAAATAACTTACCAAGAATGGGGACGCAGTGTTGAAAGCATCGGCCATAGCGCGAACTAAACCAGCCTTACGAACCAAAGTCAATTCTTGCTTGCGAAGATTTTCGATTACCTTCTCCATAGGTGGTTCCCAGGCGTAAAGCTTAATAACTTTCATGCCATTTAAAATCTCGTTGCACATTTTTGCACGTTCA